ACACACACAGACCCAAACACACACACGCACAGACGCATACTCATCTGACTTGATTGTGCATAACTTTATAAGCGGAAAACACATCTGAACATCTTTCATTTTATTTCAGTTACTGAAAATGTATCGTTCCTTCTTGTTGTTTGAATGAAAATCAAATTCTGACACTAACTGAGCTATAAATAGAAAAACATAAAATACCCCAGAATTCTCTTTTTTGAAATGGCTTATTGTTCTTTTAAAAATAATAAGAATATAGAATATAGAACAATAAGAACATAGTTTTTTAATTATATTATTATGTTTATTATATCATATCATAACATATTAGGGCTGTGTATTGGCATGAATCTGGCAATACGATATATCACAATACAGCGGAGCTGATACGATATTTTTTGGTGATATTTGGTGATATTTTCAATTTTGAAGACAAAATGTAATAGGAACATTCTGGCCGGAGACTTCTAAGACACATCCGGTGTTTCCGCGAGATCTTGTTGTTCCGTTAGAAGATGATAAAATCTACTGCCATCTAGCAGTCGCAGTTTGAATTGAATCACAAAAAAAATGCGGTACATGTTAGCATTTTAATTCAACAATGACTGACGTATAAACTGCTTTTATACATCATAACGCATAATAACATAAAAACATAATAGTGTATTGAAATTATTTTACAGATAGGATGGTAGGTAGGTTTTTGCATATTTTAGCAAGAACTAACTATTTTCTGATTCTGCTTTCCGGCGCTGATTTGTGAAATGGGAATCTGTCATTACAATTGTTAACCAATAAAGAGCCTTATTTGCGTCATAAAGGAGGAAACCATTATGTAAACTCACCAAAATGCACTTTAAGTTATTGTGCATTTTTATTTTGTGGTGTATTTATTCATTTATCTGTGAAAGAAGGAGAGCGCCATCCATTAAACTGGAGCTGCAGGCTTAGTTGTGTAAAAATGATCAGAGTCCTTTAAACAACTCTAAGGCTCAGTTAACTGTCCAAGTCTGGGATTATGTTATTACCCAACCAGATTTCTGGCCTTTGCTTAAGTTACAGACTACATGTAGTTCACAGAGGTGCTTACAGCCATTTGATTCTTGTTAAGTGAATAATGAAGCCAAACAGAGACATGTCTGGAGAGTTGAAGTGCACAGATCGTCAGTCTACTGCTCTCGCAAGCTGCTGGGGTCTAGAGGGAGCGTGGATATTCCAGCTCAGCACCTCATGAATCCTTTATCAGTGTGTTTGAGCATTGATCAGGTTGAGTATTAGCCCAAAGGCTGTTGAAGGGGAGTACAAAAATCCTGATTCTCCCATGCGAGTATGCTATGAGACAACAAAAGAACATCCGTGAGACAAAAGAAGGCAATAAAAGGGCAAGGTGCACTGGCAAACTTTCTGCAACATTTATCAATGAAACTACCTCGCTTCAGTCCTGTCTAGTTTTATTATGCACCTGCGATGGAATAAATTGGTAATAAGGTTTTGTTGTACAGGAGCCGCTAGATCTGACTGCTTGGATATGAGATGTTTCCTTTGAGCGTTGGAATGAAATGTGCTTTATGGGTAAAGTAGTAAACTCCTACTCCTAATGACTAATCGGAACACGGCGGAGGCTTTACGGACACATTCTGGCAAATCCCAACAGACGAATTGCCATAACAAAAAGTTGCCCCGCACTAAAGAGAATTAGCTCTGAAGTTATGTCTGAGTAAATCATTTGAATATGTAGAGTGGGTGTGTGTGATGTATGGAGTGATGACTCATAAATTCCACACGATTAAACCGGGAATGTGAAGTCATTAACACCGAAGTGTCTTTTCCATTTGGACCCGAGTTACAACTGGAGCATAGCTGTGACGTATTCCAGAGGGGTCAATCTATTCAGTTTGGGGGAGATGTCTGAATTTTAATGGACCTTTTGTTTTTCTGAAAGGCCCAATTTGAACATAATCATCCCCTTTGGCTAATACGATTAAGTAAAAGAGAGCGTGAATATACAATTATGGCACAATTATGTACAATTATGTAATCTGAGATTTGTAATAACTTGTGTTAATTTTTGATAAAGCCTTTAAAAAATCCATTTAATAGAAGCTTGAGCTTTTTTATCTAAAAGCATCAAATCTGTTACAGCATTGCTTCGTTGTAGGGATGTGAACCTCTGCATCATCAACATAAATGAAGATGAGCAAAACATCTCCTCCCCTTTCCATATCCAGCCATTTTGTTTAAGGATGAAAGTCCCGCCCACTCACATAATCACGGTTTGTTTTTAGCGCCAATCAATTATAACAGTCTGTAGACATTCAGTAATTTAGCATTGAGCGGTTATTCATACTGCTTCTTAAAAGGCATAAAGAAGCTCTCTCTGTCTCCATCTTCTCATTTGTTTATCTGGACACGATTCAAACATCCCACGAGATGTCGGCGTTTCACCCTAGAGCTTTCTCATTATTACGAGTTATGAGACGCGTTATTTCGAGAAACTCGCTAAAACGAGATTCTTATCAGATAAAATGAGATTTGTATCACGTTGTAACGATAAAGCTTTGCTTTTTAACGAGAAAGTTATTTCAAGATACTAATCTTTATTTTTTGCTCGCACTGACTGAAACACTTTTTTAACACTTCCGTGGTTAGCTGAGTATGTACAATATTGAAAACAAAATACTTTTGACTATTCGTTGCAGGGTTATGAAAAGAAAGTTAAACACATCTTCAGCCTGGCCTCACCTCTACTTCCTCAGGGGTCCGGGTCGCGGGGGCAGCATCCCAAGTAGGGCCTCCAAGGCAATCCTCTCCCCAGCCGAGTCCGCCAGCTTCTCAGCTGGGACACCCAGGCGTTCCCTGGCCAACCTAGAGATGTGTTTCTTCCAGGTAATCCTGGGTCGACCCTGGGGCCTCCTGTCGGCAGTACATGCCCAACACAGGCGTCCAGGAGGCACCCTGACCAGATGCCCGAACCACTTCAACTGGTTCCTTTTGCTGCAGAGGAGCAGCAGCTCCACTCCAAGCCCCTCCCGGATGTCTGAGTTCCTTACCCTATCCCTAAGGTTGAGCCCAGCCACCCTGCAAAGGATACTAATTTCGGCCGCTTGTATCCGCAATCTCGTTCTTTCTGTCACTACCCAAAGCTCATGACCATAGGTGAGGATTGGGACGTAGATCGGCCAGTAAATTGAGAGCTTTGTTTTCTGGCTCAGCTCCTTCTTAACCACGACAGATCGGTTCAGTCTCCGCATCACTGCAGACGCTGCCCTAGTCCACCTGTCGATCTCCCGCTCCCTCCTTCCCTCACTTGTGAACAAGACCCCGAAATACTTGAACTCCTCCACTTGGGCGAGGACCTCTTCTGCCTGGCAAGTATTTAAAATTTACTCTAGGCCTTATTTCGGGGTATTTTCTTTTAATTACCTCAAATATTTCCTCTGTCATTGTTTTTGCACTGAATCTCAATGAGTTGAATTAAAACTTGTTGGCATACATTGTATCATAATAAAGGGCTGAATCATATTGAATTGATCTTAGCTGCTCATGCATGTTTAATAAATCAGATTATTGGCAGCGTATCTAGACCATAGATGCACAGCCCCACTGCATTGACCTTCAGCATCCAAGAGGTTCTTTCTGAACTGCATTTTCAGCTTTAATGCACTGGTCTTTGTTTTTGTTTGCTTTAGTATGACTCGTGAGAATATAGGAGATCTAACACTTGGTGAAGCTCTGAAGTTTGTCTACGCCGCAATATATTCATTAAAAATTATTCCACTGATTTCTGCGCCAACACTTTGTACTATTTGCTTTTCCTTTGTTCACAGTTTGATGTGGA